TTATTCAGAAAAAAACTGAATTATCCTGTTGGTTGTTCCATGGAGGAGAAGAGTTGGAATGGAATAATGGAATGGTGGAATGATGGAATGATGGAATGATGGAATGATGGAATGGTGGAATAATGGAATGGTGGAATGATGGAATGGTGGAATAATGGAATGATAGAATGATGGAATGGTGGAATGATGGAATGATGGAATGGTGGAATGATGGAATTATGGAATGGTGGAATGATGGAATAACGGAATGATGGAAATGGAATGATGGAAATGGAATGATGGAATAACGGAATGATGGAATAACGGAATGATGGAATAATGGAATGATGGAATAATGGAATGATGGAATAACGGAATGATGGAATAACGGAATGATGGAACGATGGAATGATGCAATGATGGAATGGTGGAATGATGGAATGATGGAATAATGGAATGACAGAATGACGGAGTGATGGAATGATGGAACGACGGAACGACGGAACAACGGAATAATGGAATAAAGGAATGATGGAATGGTGGAATGATGGAATAACGGAATGATGGAGTGATGGAATAATGGAATAATGGAATGATGGAATGATGGAATGATGGAATAATGGAACGATGGAATAATGGAATGAAGGAATGATGGAATGAAGGAATGATGGAATGATGGAATGATGGAATAATGGAATGATGGAATGATGTAATGACGGAACGACGGAACGATGGAACGACGGAACGACGGAATAATGGAATGATGGAACGATGGAACGATGGAACAATGGAATAATGGAATGATGGAATAATGGAATATTGGAATGATGGAATGATGGAATGATGGAGTGATGGAAAAATGGAATGATGGAATGGTGGAATGGTGGAATGGTGGAATGACGGAATGATGGAATGACAGAATGACGGAATGATGGAATGATGGAGTGATGGAATGATGGAATAACAGAATGACGAAATGACGGAATAATGGAATGATGGAATGATGGAATGATGGAATGATGGAATGATGGAATAATGGAATGATGGAATAACGGAATGATGGAATAACAGAATGACGAAATGACGGAATAATGGAATATTGGAATGATGGAATGATGGAATGATGGAAATAATGGAATGATGGAACAATGGAACGATGGAACGATGGAACGATGGAATAATGGAATGATGGAATAATGAAAAAATGGAATAATGGGATGATGGAATAATGGAATAATGGAATAATGGAACGACTCAGGTGGGAGGAGGGAGCAGCAGTTGCTGATGACATCAGGGCAAAGCAAATAATTAAATGTATTAATTACTGACAGTGTGGGGCAGTGCCAGGAGCCAGGGTGAGAACACAACCTGCAAACACCGGATGGGATCCTGCTCCTGCCCTGCCTTAATCCCACATGGAATTCATCAAAAACCTGAATTTCTCTGCTTTTCCCTTATTTATCACCCTGGAAATTCTGATTTTTCTCCTATTTCTTCATTACTTTGGGTGGGGAGGGACCTCCAACATCTCCTGGTTCCACATTCCAGGAATTCCTCCATGGCCACTCCCACCATCCCAGGGTTCCCAAACTCACCCTGGGCTCCTGCAGGGATGGGACAACCTCAGCTTCTCGGGAATTCCATCCCAGAAATTTGGGTTGCTTTCCCTTCATCTCCTAAAATTTGGGATCATTTCTGTCTCTTCCATCAACTTTTAAACCCAATTTTCACCACAAGGCAGCGATTTCTGCAATTTTCTCCCAAATCTGGGATTTTCTGCTCATCAGCTCAAGTGGGGAAAAATTTTTTCTCCCCATTTTCTGCTCTGATTTCTCTAAAGGGTGTCAAACACAAAAAAAAAAAAAGGCATAAAATGCAAAATCTGGACATTTTAACCCAAAATTTTGCTTTATTCCACACCAGTGCCAAGGGGGGTGTGAACCCTTACCCCGTTCTTCACTCACTCAGAAAAACTCATTTAATCTCTAAGATCTCACAGCAAATTTAATTTAATTTTATTTTATTTTATTTTATTTTGTTTTATTTTATTTTTAAAAATTTTATTTTATTATTTTATTAAATTTTTATTTTATTTTATTTTGTTTAATCTTCATTTTAATAAATTGTATGTTATTAAATGTAATTTTAATTTATTTTATTAAATTGTATTAAATTGTATTAAATTTTTATTTTATTGTATTAAATCTTCATTTTATGAATTTTTTATTTTATTTATTTAATTTATTCATTTATTTTATTTTAGGCCGAATTTTATTTCCCTTTCATTTTGTCACACCTGTCAAAAATTGTGAAAACCATCAAAAATACCCCATGAAAGAGCATTTTAAAATTTCCCCTTTAATTTTCTTAATTCTTTCCAAACATTTGTGAAAACCATCAAAAATACCCCATGAAAGAGAATTTTATTTAATTTCCCCTTTAATTTTGTTAATTCTGTCCAAAAAAATGTGAAAATAATCAAAAATACCCCGTGAAAGAGAATTTTGTTTTATTTCCACTTTAATTTTGTTAATTCTGTCCAAAAAAATTATGAAAATCATCAAAAATACCCCAAAAAAGAGAATTTTATTTTATTTCCACTTTAATTTTGTTAATTCTGTCAAAAAAAAAGTGAAAATAATTAAAAATACCTGAAAAAAGGCTTGAACTAAACCAAATTTATTTGAATTTTGTGGTGCAACTGTTAAACCGCAGAGAATCCTCAGGAAATGACTCAGAGCTGGCAAGGAAGGCAGAAAATTCTCATTTTTTTCAAGTCTTTGCCATCCCCCCCTGCTATTTTTCACCCAAAATCTCAATTTCATCTCTTCATTCTTAAAAACAATAATTCCTGCTGCTGCTTAGCTGACAAATTTACAATATAAACCTCAATTATTTGTAAATATTGAGGTTAAATGTGAATTCTTGACATTGATTTTTGCTCTTTTCCAGGTACAGCTGGAGGCAGCGGATTGGAGATCTTTCCTAAAGGTTTGATCCTGGAAAAAATCTTGGAATTATGGAATTATTTGGGATCTAAAGGGACCTAAAACTCCTCCAATTCCATGGGCAGGGACACTTCCACAATCCCAAATTTCTCCAAGCACCATCCAGCAGTTCCAGGCACGGAGCAGCCACAATTTCCTTGGAAAAAAATCTCAATTTTTTGGGAGATGCCAGCCTGGAAAAATGCAATGGAACAACTGCAGTTTTTATGGGATTATTGCCATGGATTTTCCAGCTCCATCATTCCAAACCAGAATGAATTTAGGGAATTTCATCTTCATGCAGGGGCAAAATTGGGATTTTCTCCCAAACTGTTATTTTCTCCAAAACTGGTATTATCTCCAAAACTGATATTTTCTCCCAAATTAGTATTTTTAAGAGAAAAACACACACGAAAAATCCATATATGAAAAATCCTCAATTTCTCCCTTGGCAGGATGGAGCAATTGCAGCTTTTATGGGATTATTGCCATGGATTTTCCAGCTCCATCATTCCAAACCAGAAGTTTCCCACTGCATTCATGGAATCTCATCCTCCTGCAGGGGCAAAATTGAGATTTTCTCCCAAAATTGGTATTTTCTCCAAAACTGGTATTGTCTCCAAAATGGATATTTTCTCCCAAATTGGTATTTTCAGGAGAAAAATGCACATGAAAAATCGATATATGAAAAATCTTCCAATTCTCCCTTGGCAGGATGGAGCAATTGCAGTTTTTATGGGATTATTGCCATGGATTTTCCAGCTCCATCATTTCAAACCAGGATGGATTTATGGAATCTCATCCTCCTGCAGGGGCAAAATTGTGATTTTCTCCAAAATGGCTATTTTCTCCAAAATTGGTATATTCTCCCAAATGGATATTCCAGTTCTCCCTTGCCAGGATGGGGCAGTTGCATTTTTTATGGGATTATTGCCATGGATTTTCCAGTTCCATCATTTCAAACCAGTCCCCCCTGTTCCCCATCCCAGTGTCCCCAGTGCCCCTGTCCCACATCCCAGTCCCTTCGTTCCCCATCCCAGTCCCCCATTCCCCATCCCAGTCCCCCCGTCCCCCCATTCCAGTACCCCCAGTACCCTGTTCCCCATCCCAGTCCCCCCAGTTCCCCTGTCCTCCATCCCAGTCTCTTGTTCTCCACCCCAGTCCCCCCAGTCCCCCCGTTCCCCATCCCAGTCCCCCCGTTCCCCATCCCAGTACCCTGTCCCCCATCCCAGTCTCCCCAGTCCCCCCGTTCCCCATCCCAGTACCCTGTCCCCCATCCCAGTCTCCCCAGTTCCCCCGTTCCCCATCCCAGTCTCCCTGTTCTCCATCCCAGTTCCCTCAGTCCCCCCGTTCCCCATCCCAATCCCCCAGTTCCCTATCCCAGTACTCCCAGTCCCCCCGTTCCCATTCCAGTACCCCCAATCCCCCCGTTCCCCATCCCAGTCCCCCCTATTCCCCCATCCCAGTCCCATCTCCCCATCCCAGTTCCCCCAGTCCCCCCGTTCCCCATCCCAGTACCCCCAGTTCCCCTGTCCTCCATCCCAGTCCCCCGTTCCCCATCCCAGTCCCCCCGTCCCCCCATTCCAGTACCCCCAGTACCCTGTCCCCCCATCCCAGTACCCTGTTCCCCATCCCAGTCCCCCCGGTCCTCTGTCCCCCATCCCAGTCCCCCGAGTACCCTGTTCCTCTATCCCAGTCCCCCGTTCCCCATCCCAGTCCCCCCAGTTCCCACGTTCCCCATCCCAGTCCCCCCAGTTCCGCCGTTCCCATCCCAGTACCCCCAGTCCCCCGTTCCCCATCCCAGTACCTCCTGTCCCCTATTCCCCATCCCAGTCTCCCCAGTACCTTGTCCCCCATCCCAGTCCCCCGTTCCCATCCCAGTCCCCCGTTCCCCATCCCAGTGCCCCGTTCCCCATCCCAGTCCCCCGTTCCCGTCCCAGTCCCCCCGGTTCCCGCCCCATTCCCCCATCGCGGCCGGTTCCCGCACTACAACTCCCGGCGTGCTCCGCGGCGGGCCCTGCGGCCCCTCAGGCCCCGGCTCGGGACGAGGCCGCAGCGGCGGCTCCGCGGGGCTGGGCCATGGAGAGCCCCGGCGGCAGCGGCTCCCTGAGGGGCGACATCGGTGCGTGGGCAGCGGGCCGGGCCGGGCACACCGCGGGCAGCGCCGGGAACGGGGCTGGGAGCGGGGCCGGCCGGGAAGAGGCGGCAGCTGCGCGGGGCGGCGGGTGCGGGGGCTGCGGGATGGGCTGTGGGGCTCGCGGGGTGGGTTTGGTGGTTACAGTGGGATTTTGGGTATTACAGAGTGCTCCGCGGGTTTAAGGATGGGTTTTGGGGGTTGCAGGAGGGGTTTGGAGGCTGCAGGACGGTTTTGGGGTGTAGGGTGTGATTTGGGTGTTAAAGAGGGGTTTGGGGGTTACAGGATGGGCTCTGGGGGTTGCGGGGCGGTTTGGGCAGCGAGTGGCCTCTGGCAAGGAAAGGGATGAGAGGATGCTCGGGACAGCGTCAGGACACGGCAGCGATCCTTGCTCCTCCCTAAATCCCGGGGAACGATCCTTGTTCCACCTCCCTAATTCCTGGGGAACGATCCTTGTTATACCTCCCTAATTCCCGGGGAATGATCCTTGTTCCTTCCTAATTCCCGGGGAACGATCCTTGTTACACCTCCCTAATTCCCGGGGAACGATCCTTGTTCCACCTCCCTAAATCCCGGGGAACGATCCTTGTTTCTCCCTAAATCCCGGGAACGATCCTTGTTACACCTCCCTAAATCCCGGGGAACGATCCTTGTTCCACCTCCCTAATTCCTGGGGAACGATCCTTGTTACACCTCCCTAATTCCCGGGGAACGATCCTTGTTCCACCTCCATAATTCCCGGGGAACGATCCTTCTTCTTCCCTAATTCCCGGGGAACGATCCTTGTTCTTCCCTAATTCCTGGGGAACGATCCTTGTTCCACCTCCCTAAATCCCGGGGAACGATCCTTGTTACACCTCCCTAATTCCCAGGGGAACGATCCGTGTTCCTCCCTAAATCCCCGCGTGCGGTGTTGTGGGGCTGTGGCATTGGGATATTCCCACCTTGGAGCCGCGGTGCCCAAATCCCAGCGGCTGCTCCCGGGTCACCCCCGGGGTTCGTGTCCCGATTCCCGGGGCAGGGACAGCTCCCACTGCCCCAGGCTGCTCCAGCCCCAGTGTCCAGCCTGGCCTAGGCCATTGCAGGGATCAGGGGCAGCCCCAGCTGCTCTGGGAATCCCTTCCCAAAATCCCACCCCAGGCTCCCTCTCCAGGGAATTCCCTCCATTCCCAGCTCTCCCAGCCTGCCATTGGATCCATCCCCACCCCGACTCCTCTCCAGGAAGGAATTTTGGGATCTGGGGGCTTCACTGGGAACCTCAGCACTCCAGGAAGGGTCTCCCTTCCCTTTGCCATCCCCAGCTTCCATAAAAATCCCTGGGGATGGATTCTGAGTGTCCCAAATCCCAGAATGGTTTGGGTGGGAAGGGCCCTTCAAGCCCATCCCATTCCAGTCCCACCATCCCAGGCTGCTCCAGCCTGGCCTTGGGCACTGCAGGGATCAGGGGCAGCCCCAGCTGCTCTGGCAATGCCAGCCCAGGCAGGAATTGCTCATGGCCAAGGTCCCGTCCATGGCTGCAGGTGACATTGTCCCCTCACGGTGCCACATGGGCCGGAATTGCCCCGTGCTGGCTGCCAAGCAAAGGTGTTGGAGGTGGGAGCTTCTTTTTCCAAGCTCCATGGACTTTTGGGACGGGATTTTTGGGTTAGGCCGAGTTTTTCCTTCATCCCAGCTCTCCTTGTTCCTGCAGGAATGCAGAGTTTGGGAAGGGATTTTCGAGTTGGGCTGAGTTTTTCCTTCATCCCAGCTCTTTTCCCATGCTCCTCCAGGAATCCAGATCTCCATGGATATTTTCTCCAAAATTTGAATTTTCAGGAGAAAAACACACGTGAAAAATCCATATATGAAAAAATCCTCCATTTCTCCCTTGGCAGGATGGAGCAATTGCAGTTTTTATGGAATTATTGCCATAAATTTTCCAGCTCCGTCATTTCAAACCAGAATGGATTTAGGGAATTTCATCCTCCTGCAGGGGCAAAATTGGTATTTTTTCCCAAATTGGTATTTTCTCCCAAATTGGTATATTCTCCCAAATGGATATTTCCAGGAGAAAAACATACATGAAAAATCCATACATGAAAAATCCTCCATTTCTCCCTTGGCAGGATGGAGCAATTGCAGTTTTTATGGAATTATTGCCATGGATTTTCCAGCTCCATCATTTCAAACCAGAAGGTTTCCCACTGGATTTAGGGAATTTCATCCTCCTGCAAGGGCAAAATTGGGTTTCTCCCAAATTGGTATTTTCTCCAAAACTGGTATATTCTCCCAAACTGGTATTTCCTCCCAAATTGGTATATTCTCCCAAATTGGTATTTTCTCCCAAAGTGGTAATTTTCTCCAAATTGGTATATTCTCCCAAATGGGTATTTTTTCCCATATGGATATTTTCTCCCAAATTGGTATTTTCTCCCAAATTGCTATTTTCTCCCAAAACGGATATTTCTCCCAAATGGGTATTTTCTCCCAAACTGGTAATTTTCTCCCAAACTGGCATATTCTCCCAAATTGATGCATTTTCCCAAATGGCTATTTTCTCTCAATGGATATTTTCTCCAAAACTGGTATTTTCTCCCAAATTGGTATTTTTCTCCCAAATTGGCATTTTCTCCAAAATTGCTAGTTTTCTCCAAATGGATATTTTCTCCAAGCTGATAATTTTCTCCCAAATTGGTATTTTCTCCCAAACTGGTAATTTTCTCCCAAATTGGTAATTTTCTCCCAAATTGGTATTTTCTCCCAAATGGGTATTTTTTCCCCATATGGATATTTTCTCCAAATTGGTATATTCTCCCAAATTGGTATTTTTTCCCAAACTGGTATATTCTCCCAAATCGATGCATTCTCCCAAATGGACATTTTCTCCCAAACTGGTACATTCTCCAAATTGTTATTTTCTCCCTAGTGAATATTTTCTCCCAGACTGTTACTTTCCAGAAGACCAACGTGGATTTTTCCATCCCCGCAGTGACCGAGGCCGGGGCGGATTTTTTACGTTACGAAGCGGAACAGAAATTACTAAAAATAACATTTTAAAAAAATTTTTTCCCTAACAAAAAAAAAAAAAAAAAAAGGAATTTACTAAAATCTCCCCCCATTTGCAGGTTTCTGGGCGGACCGGACGCCGGTGCACGAGGCCGCGCGGCGCGGGGAGATCGCGCAGCTGCGGCGGCTGATCGAGAGCGGGGCCTGCGTCAACGCCGTCACCTACGACTCCATCACGCCCCTGCACGAGGCCAGCCTGCGCGGGCAGGCCCAGTGCGTGCGGCTGCTGCTGGAGGCGGGGGCGCAGGTGGGACCCCTGGTCCTGCTGGGAACGGGACTTGGGACTGCTCTGGTCCCGCTGGGAATGGGACTTGGGACTGCTCTGGTCCCACTGGGAACGGGACTGGGGGTGGTGGGACTGCTCTGGTCCTGCTGGGAATGGGACTGGGGATGGTGGGACCCCTGGTCCTGCTGGGAACGGGACTGGGGATGGTGGGACTGCTCTGGTCCTGCTGGGAATGGGACTGGGGATGGTGGGACTGCTCTGGTCCCACTGGGAACGGGACTGGGGATGGTGGGACTGCTCTGGTCCTGCCCCTGATCCCGCTGGGAATGGGACTGGGGATGGTGGGACTGCTCTGGTCCTGCTGGGAATGGGACTGGGGGTGGTGGGAGCTGGGTGGGGGAGCTGGGAATGGGCTGGAGGGGCTGAGGGAGCTGGGAAGGGTCTGGAGAACCAGGAGGGGCTGAGGGAGCTGGGCAGGGTCTGGAGAACCGGGAGGGGCTGAGGGAGCTGGGAAGGGAATGGAGAACCAGGAGGGGCTGAGGGAGCTGGGCAGGGGCTGAGCCTGGAGCAAAGGAGGCTCAGGGGGGACCTGGTGGCTCTGCACAAGTCCCTGCCAGGAGGGGACAGCCCTGCTTTTAACCTGTTTTTCCTGCTTTTCCCTGCTTTTAACCTTCTTTTCCCTACTTTTCCCTACTTCTAACCTGCTTTTCCCTACATTTAACCTTCTTTTCCCTACTTTTAACCTCCTTTTAACATGCTTTCCCCTGCTTTCCCTTACTTTTAACCTGCTTTTCCCTACTTTTAACCTGCTTTTCCCTGCTTTTCACTTGCTTTTCCTTGCTTTTAACCTGCTTTCTCTTGCTTTTCGCTACTTTTAACCCACTTTTAACCTGCTTTTCCTTACTTTTAACCTGCTTTTCCCTACTTTTAAACTGCTTCTAACCTGCTTTCAACCCACTTTTCCCTACTTTTAACCTGCTTTTCCCCTGCTTTTCCCTACTTTTAACTTGCCTTTCCCCTACTTTTCCCTACTTTTTAAACTGTTTTCCCCTGGTTTTCCCTGTTTGTTTTTAACCTGTTTTCTCCCGTTTTTCCCCTATTTTTAACCTGTTTTCCTCCCTTTTTCCCCTATTTTTAACCGTTTCCCCCTGTTTTTCCCCTGTTTTTCCCTGTTTTCCCCTGTTTTTAACCTGTTTTCCCCTGTTTCTAACCTGTTTTCCCCTGGTTTTCCCCTGTTTTTAACCTGTTTTTCCTGTTTTTCCCTGTTTTTCCCGTTTTCCCTGTTTTTAACCTGTTTTTAACCTGTTTTTCCCCTGTCTTTCAGTTTTTCCCATTTTCCCTGTTTTTAACCTGTTTTCCCATTTTCCCCTGTTTTTCCCGTTTTCCCCTATTTTTAACCTGTTTTTCCCCCGTTTTTCCCTGTTTCTACCCGTTTTCCACAGGTGGACGCGCGGACATCGACGGCAGCACGCCGCTGTGCGACGCCTGCGCCTCGGGCAGCGTCGAGTGCGTGCGGGTGCTGCTGTCGCACGGCGCCAAGGTGAACCCGCCGCTGTACACGGCCTCGCCCCTGCACGAGGCCTGCATGAACGGTAACCGGGGGGGATTCGGGGGCTTCCTGGGAATTCTGGGGGTGGCATGGCGGGGGCAATTCCGGGGTTATCCCAGGGCAGCGCCGGGGGCACTCCAGGGAAGATTCCGGGGCAATATGTGGGTAATTCCAGGGTCATTTCAGGGCCGTTCCACGGCAGTTCCAAGGCAATTCCAGGGTCATTCCAGGGTTATTCCAGGGCAATTCCAAGGTCATTCCAGGGCAGGAGAATTCCAGGGCAATTCCAGGGTCATTCCAGGGCAATTCCAGGAACAATTCCTTGGTCATTCCAGGAGAATTCCAGGGCAGTTCCTGGGCCATTGCCGGGTTATTCCAGGGCAATTCCAGGGTCATTAATTCCATGGTCATTCCAGGGCACTTCCAGGACCATTCCAGGCTCATTCCAGGAGAATTCTGGGGTCATTCCATGGCAGTTCCAGGAGAATTCCAGGGCGATTCCAAGGTCATTCCAGGGCAGGAGAATTCCAGGGCCATTTCAGGGCAATTCCTTGGTCATTCCAGGGTCATTCCAGGGCCATTTCTGGGCAGTTCTGGGGTCATTCCAGGAGAATTCCAGGAGAATTCCAGAGCAATTCCTGGGTCATTGCAGGGTTGTTCCAGGGCAGTTTCAGGAGAATTCCAGGGCAGTTCCTGGGCCATTCCAGGGTAATTCCAGGGCCATTCGGGGCAATTCCTTGGGCATTTCAGGGGTATTCCAGGGCAATTCCTGGGAAATTCCAGGGCCATTCTAGGGCAGTTCCAGGGTCATTAATTCCAGGGTCATTCCAGGACCGTTCCAAGGTCATTCTAGGGTAATTCCAGGGTAATTCCAGGGCAATTCCAGAGTCATTAATTCCAGGGTCATTCCAGGGCCATTCGTGGGCCATTGCAGGGTCATTCCAGGGTGATTCCAGGCCGGTTCCCAGTTTTCAGTGGGAATTCCCAAGTTTCAATGGGAATTCCATCCCCTTGGGGCAGGAATTCCCAGTTTTCATCAGGAATTTCCAGTTTCCATTGGGAATTCCCAGTTTCCATTGGGAATTCCCGGTTTTCATTGGGAATTCCTGGTTTTTAGTGTGAATTCCCAGTTTTCAGTGGGAATTCCATCCCGTTGGGGCAGGAATTCCCAGTTTCCATTGGGAATACCCAGTTTTCATCAGGAATTCCCGGTTTCCATTGGCCATTCCCGGTTTCCGTTGTGAATTCCCAGTTTCCATTGGCCATTCCCGGTTTCCATTGGGCATTCCCAGTTTCCATTGGCGATTCCCAGTTTCCGTCGGGCATTCCCAGTTTCCATTGGCCATTCCCAGTTTCCATTGGCCATTCCCAGTTTCCGTCGGGCATTCCCAGTTTCCATTGGCCATTCCCAGTTTCCATTGGCGATTCCCAGTTTCCGTCGGGCATTCCCAGTTCCCACTGGCCATTCCCAGTTCCCGTTGGCCATTCCTGTTTCCATTGGCCATTCCCAGTTCCGTTTGCCATTCCCAGTTCCCGTTGGCCATTCCCGGTTCCCACTGGCCATTCCCAGTTCCCGTTGGCCATTCCCGTTCCCATTGGCCATTCCCGGTTCCCGTTGGCCATTCCCGTTCCCGTTGGCCATTCCCGTTCCCATTGGGTTTCCCGTGTTTCCCGTGGCAGGCAGCCCCGAGTGCGTGCAGCTCCTGATCGACGTGGGGGCCAACCTGGAGGCGCACGACTGCCACTTCGGGACCCCCCTGCACGTGGCCTGTGCCCGCGAGCACCTGGACTGCGCCAAGCTGCTGCTGCAGGCGGGTACGGCCCCGACCCGCCCCGGGGAGCGGCTGCTGCTCACACAGCTCTGCTCCACTGGTGATCCCATTGCTGATCCCATTGCTGAGCCCATTGCTGAGCCCATTGGTGATCCTGTTCTCCCTGCTGACACAGCTCTGCTCCACTGGTGATCCCATTCCTGATCCCATTGGTGATCCCATTGGTGATCCCATTGCTGATCCATTGCTGATCCTGTTCTCCCTGCTCACACAGCTCTGCTCCACTGGTGATCCCATTGGTGATCCATTGCTGATCCATTGCTGATCCTGTTCTCCCTGCTGACACAGCTCTGCTCCACTGGTGATCCCATTGCTGATCCCATTGCTGATCCATTGCTGAGCCCATTGCTGATCCTGTTCTCCCTGCTCACACAGCTCTGCTCCACTGGTGATCCCATTGCTGATCCCATTGCTGATCCATTGCTGAGCCCACTGGTGATCCCATTGCTGATCCTGTTCTCCCTGCTGACACAGCTCTGCTCCATTGGTGATCCTATTGGTGATCCCATTGGTGATCCCATTGCTGATCCTGTTCTCCCTGCTGACACAGTTCTGCTCCATTGGTGATCCTATTGGTGATCCCACTGGTGATCCCATTGCTGAGCCCATTGCTGATCCTGTTCTCCCTGCTGACACAGCTCTGCTCCACTGGTGATCCCATTGCTGATCCCATTGCTGAGCCCATTGCTGATCCCATTGCTGATCCTGTTCTCCCTGCTGACACAGCTCTGCTCCACTGGTGATCCCATTGCTGATCCTATTGCTGATCCATTGCTGAGCCCATTGCTGAGCCCATTGGTGATCCATTGCTGATCCATTGCTGATCCCATTGCTGATCCATTGCTGATCCATTGCTGATCCTGTTCTCCCTGCACACACAGCTCTGCTCCACTGGTGATCCCATTGCTGATCCCATTGCTGATCCATTGCTGAGCCCATTGCTGATCCTGTTCTCCCTGCACACACAGCTCTGCTCCACTGGTGATCCCATTGCTGATCCCATTGCTGATCCATTGCTGAGCCCATTGCTGATCCTGTTCTCCCTGCTGACACAGCTCTGCTCCACTGGTGATCCCATTGCTGAGCCCATTGGTGATCCCATTGGTGATCCCATTGCTGAGCCCATTGCTGATCCTGTTCTCCCTGCTGACACAGCTCTGCTCCATTGCTGATCCCATTGCTGAGCCCATTGCTGATCCTGTTCTCCATGCTCACACAGCTCTGCTCCATTGGTGATCCCATTGGTGATCCCATTGCTGATCCCATTGCTGATCCCATTGCTGATCCTGTTCTCCCTGCTGACACAGCTCTGCTCCACTGGTGATCCCATTGGTGATCCCATTGGTGATCCCATTGCTGATCCTGTTCTCCCTGCTGACACAGCTCTGCTCCACTGGTGATCCCATTGGTGATCCCATTGCTGAGGCCATTGCTGAGCCCATTGGTGATCCCATTGCTGATCCTGTACTTCCCTGAACAGACACATCTCATCCCATTCCTGATCCATTCCTCATCCCATTCCTGATCCTGTTTTTCCCTGCACACACCCCTCTGCTCCCATTGCTGATCCCACTCCTGATCCCGTTCTTCCCTGCACACACCCCTCTGGTCCCACTGCTGATCCCATTTCTTGATCCCCTTCTTCCCTGCACAGACCCCTCTGATCCATTGCTGATCCCATTGTTGGTCCCATTCCTGATCCCATCTCTGGTCCCACTGTTGATCCCATTCCTGATCCCATTGGTGATCCCATTGCTGATCCTGTTCTCCCTGCACACACAGCTCTGCTCCATTGGTGATCCCATTGCTGAGCCCATTCCTGAGCCCATCTCTGATCCCAGTGTTGGTCCCATTCCTGATCCCACTGCTGATCCCATTTCTTGATCCCCTTCTTCCCTGCACAGACCCCTCTGGTCCCATGGCTGAAACCAGTGTTGGTCCCATTCCTGATCCCATTCCGGATCCCATTCCTGATCCCATTCCTGATCCCCTTGCTGATCCTGTTCTTCCCTGCGCAGACCCCTCTGATCCCATTCCTGGTCACATTCCTGATCCCATTTCTGTTGCCATTTCTGATCCCTTTTCCCCCACATAAATTTCTTTTTCCCTGGCCAGATCCTCTTTTCTCTGCCTGGATTTCCTTTTCCCTGGCTAAATCCCCTCTTCCCTGGATAAATCCCCTTTTCCGTGGATAAATTTCCTTTTCCCACCTGGATTTCCGTTTTCCTGGCTGGGTTTCCTTTTCCCTGCTCAAATTCCCTTCTCCCTGGCCATATCCCATTTTCCCTGCCTGAATCCTCTTTTCTCTGGCTAAACTCCTTTTTTCCCCAGATAAATTCCCTTTTTCCTGCCTGGATTTCTTCCCTTTTTCCTGTCTGGATCCCCTTTTCTCTGGCTAAATTTCCTTCTCCTGCCTGGATTTCCATTTCCCCCCCTAGATTTCCTCTCCCTTGGATAAATTCCCTTTTCCCACCTGGATTTCCTTTTCCCTGGCTATAACCCCTTTTCCCTGCCTGGATCCCCTTTTCTCTGGCTAAATTCCCTTTTCCCTGGATAAAAATTCCCTTTCCCTGCCTGGATTCCCTTTTCCCTGGCTAAATCCCCTTTTCCCACCTGGCTTTCCTTTTCCTGGTTGGATTTATTCCCTTTTCCCTGTCTGGATCCCCTTTTCCCTGCCCATATCCCCTTTTCTCTGGCTAAATTCCCTTTTCTCTGGCTAAATTCCCTTTTTCCTGGATAAATTCCCCTTTTCCTGCCTGGATTTATTCCCTTTTCCCTAGATTAATTTCCTTTACCTGCCTGGATTTCCATTTTCCTGGCCAGATTCCCTTTTCCCTGAATAAATTCCCTTTTCCTTGGATAAATTTCCATTTCCCTGCCCGGATTCCTTTTTCCCTGGCTAAATCCCCTTTTCCCACATGGCTTGCCTTTTCCCTGTCTGGATCCCCTTTTCTTTGGCCAAATTCCTTTTTCCCTGGCCAAATCCCCTTTTCATGGGTAAAAATTCCCTTTTCCCTGCCTGAATCCCCTTTTCCCTGGCCAAATCCCCTTTTCCCTGCCTGAATCCCCTTTTCTTTGGCCAAATTCCCTTTTCCCTGTCTGGATCCCCTTTTCTCTGCCCATATCCCCTTTTCCCTGGCTAAATCCCCTTTTCCCACCTGGCTTTCCTTTTCCTGCTGGGATTTATTCTCTTTTCCCTGGATAAATTTCCTTTTCCCTGGCCAGATTTCCTTTTCCCTGGATAAAAATTCCCTTTTCCTTGGATAAAAATTCCTTTTCCCTGGCTAAATTCCCTTTTCCCTGGATAAATTCCCTTTTCCCTGGATAAATTTCCATTTTCCTGCCCGGATTCCCTTTTCCCTGGCCAAATCCCCTTTTCCCACCTGGCTTTCCTTTTCCTGCTGGGATTTATTCCCTTTTCCCTGGATAAATTTTCTTTTCCCTGAATAAATTCCCTTTTCCCTGGATAAATTTCTTCTTCCCTGCCTGAATTCCCTTTTCCCTGGATAAATCCCCTTTTCCCTGGATAAATTTCCTTTTCCTTGGCCAGTTCCCCTTTTCTCTGCCTGGATTCCCTTTTCACTGGCCAGCTTCCCTTTTCCCTGCCTAAATCCTATTTTCCCTGTATAAATTTCCTTCTCCTGCCTGGATTCCCTTTTCCCAGGCTAAATTCCCTTTTACATGGTTAAATTCCCTTTTACCTGGTTAAATTCCCTTTTCCTTGAGATAAGTCCCCTTTTCCCCCCTATCTTTCCCTTTCCCTGCTGGATTTATCCCTTTTCCCCCCTGTTTTTCCCTTTCCCTGTCCATATTTATCCCTTTTCCCCCCTGTTTTTCCCTTTCCCTGCTGGATTTATCCCTTTTCCCCCCTGTTTTTCCCTTTCCCTGTCCATATTTATCCCTTTTCCCCCCTGTTTTTCCCTTTCCCTGTCCATATTCACCCCTTCCCCCCCGGAATATCCCGCAGGAGCCAATGTGAACGCGGCCAAGCTGCACGAGACGGCGCTGCACCACGCGGCCAAGGTGAGGAACGTGGACCTGGTGGAGCTGCTGGTGGAGTTTGGGGGCAACATCTACGCCCGGGACAACCGGGGCAAGAAACCCTCGGACTACACCTGGAGCAGCAGCCCCGCGGCCAAGTGCTTCGAGTTCTACGAGAGTGAGTGGGGAAATGCCCTTTGTGTTGGGAATTCGGACATCTAATCACCTTTGTCCTGGAAATTCAGCCATCAAATCCCCTTTTTATTGGGAATTCGGCCATCAAATCCCCTTTCTGATCCCATTTTTGTCCCATGTTCCCATTTCTCCTGTTTCTGATCCCATTTTTTTCCCATTTCAGATCCCATATTCCCATTTCTGAACCCATTTCTGATCCCGTTTCTGATCCCATTTCTGATCCCATGTTTCCCTTTCCAATCCCATGTTCCCATTTCTGATCCCATTTCTGATCCCATTTCTGATCCCATTTTTATCCCCTTTCTGATCCCATGTTCCTGTTCCTGATCTTATTTTCCCATTTCTGATCCTGTTTTTATCCCATTCCTGATCCCATATTCCCATTTCTGGTCCCATTTTTATCCTGTTTTTGATCCCGTATTCCCGTTTCTGATCCTGTTTTCCCATTTCTGACCCCATTCCTGATCCCACATTCCCATTTCTGACCCCATTCCTGATCCCATATTCCCATTTCTGACCCCATTCCTGATCCCACATTCCCATTTCTGACCCCATTCCTGATCCCATATTCCCATTTCTGATCCCATTTCTGATCCCATTATTCCCATTTCCCCGCAGAGACGCCGCTGAGCCTGTGCTGGGTCTCGGTGCGCAGAGCCGCCGGGGCCTGCACCAGATCTCAGACCCCATATTCCCATTTTGATCCCATGTTCCTCTTTCTGATCCCATATTCCCATTTCTGATCCCGTTTCTGATCCCATATTCCCATTTTGATCCCATTACTGATCCCATATGTTTCCCATTTCTGATCCCATTTCTGATCCCATATTCCCATTTCTGATCCCATGTTCCTATTCTGATTCCGTTTCTGATCCCATGTTTCCGTTTCTGATCCCACGTTTCCGTTTCTGATCCCATGTTTTTCCCATTTCTGATCCCATTGTTCCTGTTCCCGATCCTGTTTTTATCCTGTTTCTGATCCCATGTTCCCATTTCTGATCCCGTTTTTATCCCATTTCTGATCCTGTTTTTATCCCATTTCTGACCCCACATTCCCATTTTGATCCCATGTTCCTGTTTCCAATCGCATGTTCCCATTTTGATCCCATTTCTGATCCCATATGTTTCCCATTTCTGATCCCATTTCTGATCCCATTTTGATCCCATTTCTGATCCCATTTTGATCCCATTTCTGATCCCGTGTTCCTGTTCCTGATCTTATTTTCCCATTTCTGATCCCATTTTTATCCTGTTTCTGATCCCATTTCTGATCCCATTTTTATCCCATTTCGGATCTCATTTTTATCCTGTTTCTGATCGCATTTTTGATCCCATTTCTGCTCCCATGTTCCCATTTCTGTTTCCATATTCCCATTTCAAATCCCCTATTCCCATCTCTGACCCCACATTCCCATTTCTGACCCCATTTCTGATCCCCTATTCCCATTTCTGACCCCACATTCCCGTTTTTATCCCGTTTCTAACCCCATTTTTCCCGTTTCTCCCGCAGAGACGCCGCTGAGCCTGCTGCAGCTGTGCCGGGTGTCGGTGCGCAGAGCCGCCGGCCGCCGGGGCCTGCACCAGATCTCCAAGCTGCAGATCCCCCCTCGGCTCATCCGGTACCTGTCCTACAACTGACAGAGCCAGGAAACCGGGAAACCCCGGGAAAACCCCGGGAAAACCCCGGGAAAACCCCAGGACAAACCCCGGACAAACCCGGGACAAACCCCACGGCCTCGGAGGAATTCTCCTGCTCTTCTACCTCCCCCCCAATTAATCCCCGCGTTAATTTAATTTAATTTAATTTAATTCCAGGCACTGCTGTAAATAGGATTTGCCGGGAGCTCCTCTTTTCTGTGAGTTTTCTTGGCGTGGCCCAGGTGGAATTTCAGCCTCTCCCAAGGTTGATTTTCCTGGATTTCCTCTGGGGGAAAGGAAATGGGATAACTGTGGGGTGGGGATCATTCCAGCTGGGAATTCCGTGCTCTGGAGCAGCCGTGATCCCACTTTGATCCCATTTTTGCCTGCACAGACATTTCCAAAATGGGAAAATTGGATTCCTCGGGATTCCAAAATGGGAAAATTGGGTGAATCCTTTGGCTTTTCCCACCCCTCCTGCACGTCACAAAATCCTTGGATCCTAAAAAACCCCAAACTCCCTCACTTGGAGATGGATCCTGAGCTTTTGGTGGTGCCCTAAAACCGAAATCCCGGATTTTCCATGGATTCAGGAACTTGGGAAGTGCTGGAAAGGGCAGGAACTCCTCAGAGCTGGAATTTGGGCACCTGGGATTTATTCCTGATTAAAGGGAATCAGGGAGAAAATACCAATTTGGGAGAAAATTACCAATTTGGGAGAAAATACCAATTTGGGAGAAAATAGTAATTTGGGAGAAAATATCCATATGGGAAAAAAAATACCCATTTGGGAGAATATACCAGTTTGGGAGAAAATTACCAGTTTAGGAGAAAATATCCATTTGGGAGAAAATACCAGTTTTGGAGAAAATGCCAATCTGGGAGAAAATATTCATTTGGGAGAAAATATCAGTTTAGGGAAAAATACCAATTTGGGAGAAAATACAAATTTTGGAGAATATACCAATTTGGGAGGAAATACCAGTTTGGGAGAATATACCAGTTTTGGAGAAAATAGCAATTTTGGAGAAACCCAGTTTTGCCCTTGCAGGAGGACGAAATTCCATAAATCCAGTGGGAAACTTCTGGTTTGAAACGATGGAGCTGGAAAATCCATGGCAATAATTCCATAAAAACTGCAATTGCTCCATCCTGCCAAGGGAGAAATGGAGGATTTTTCATGTATGGATTTTTCATGTGTGTTTTTCTCCTGAAAATTCAAATTTTGGAGAAAATATCCATGGAGATCTGGATTCCTGGAGGAGCATGGGAAAAGAGCTGGGATGAAGGAAAAACTCAGCCCAACTCAAAAATCCCTTCCCAAACTCTGCATTCCTGCAGGAACAAGGAGAGCTGGGATGAAGGAAAAACTCGGCCTAACCCAAAAATCCCGTCCCAAAAGTCCATGGAGCTTGGAAAAAGAAGCTCCCACCTCCAACACCTTTGCTTGGCAGCCAGCACGGGGCAATTCCGGCCCATGTGGCACCGTGAGGGGACAATGTCACCTGCAGCCATGGACGGGACCTTGGCCATGAGCAATTCCTGCCTGGGCTGGCATTGCCAGAGCAGCTGGGGCTGCCCCTGATCCCTGCAGTGCCCAAGGCCAGGCTGGAGCAGCCTGGGATGGTGGGACTGGAATGGGATGGGCTTGAAGGGCCCTTCCCACCCAAACCATTCTGGGATTTGGGACACTCAGAATCCATCCCCAGGGATTTTTATGGAAGTTGGGGATGGCAAAGGGAAGGGAGACCCTTCCTGGAGTGCTGAGGTTCCCAGTGAAGCCCCCAGACCCCAAAATCCCTTCCTGGAGAGGAGTCGGGGTGGGGATGGATCCAATGGCAGGCTGGGAGAGCTGGGAATGGAGGGAATTCCCTGGAGAGGGAGCCTGGGGTGGGATTTTGGGAAGGGATTCCCAGAGCAGCTGGGGCTGCCCCTGAGCCCTGCAATGGCCAAGGTTGGACACTGGGATCAGGAATTGTCGCTGCCCTTGGAATGGGGCTGGAATTGGAGGATCCCGAAGGTCCCACCCAACCCATTCCACGATTCCATAAAAACCCCACAATGTCCCTCCCCTTCCCAAAACCTTTCATTCCTCGTTTTCCATGAAAAACCTGGGGAAGGAAATCTGGGACCGGGGAATCTCCCAGAGAAATCCTGAGCCCTGGGAGGAATCAGAGGCTGGAAAAATCCCAAAAAGCTGGCAGGGAAACGATGCTGGGAAAAACGGGATAATCCCTTTTTATTTTCCCCTAAGGAATCCTCTCCAGCCACTCCTCATCCCGGAGCCGGCTGGGATGGGGAGGAGCCGCCCGGGGCTTTTGGAGGAGGAAATTTTGGGAGGCATCGAGGGTCAAACTCCCACAATTCCCACAAAAACCCTGTGAAATCCGCGCGATTGGGATGCGGGAGCCTCTCCCGGCGCGGCGCCGCTTGGCGGAGCTGCTGCCCCCGGGAAAGCTCCGGGAACGGCAACGCCCGAACGGCCGGGTCCGCCCCGCTCGCCCCAAACCCGGGAAAACCGGGAATTTCTGCTCCCCGCATCCCAAATGCCTCTGATCCCAAATGCCTCTGATCCCAAATCCCTCTGGATCCCAAATCCCTCTGATCCCAAATCCCCTCTGATCCCAAATCCCTCTGGATCCCAAATCCCTCTGATCCCAAATTCCCTTCAATCCCAAATCCGTCTGATCCCAAATTCCTCTGATCCCAAATTCCTCTGATCCCAAATGCCCTCTGATCCCAAATCCCTCTGGATCCCAAATTCCCTTCAATCCCAAATCCCTCTGGATCCCAAATCCCTCTGATCCCAAATCCCTCTGGATCCCAAATTCCCTTCGATCCCAAATCCCTCTGATCCCAAATTCCCTTCGATCCCAAATTCCCTTCAATCCCAAATTCCCTTTGGTCCTAAATCCCTCTGATCCCAAATCCCTCTGATCCCAAATTCCCTTCGATCCCAGATTCCTCTGATCCCAAATCCCCTCTGATCCCAAATCCCCTTCAATCCCAAATCCCCTCTGATCCCAAATCCCCTTCGATCCCAAATCCCCTCTGATCCCAAATCCCTCTGATCCCAAATTCCTCTGATCCCAAATCCCCTCTGATCCCAAATTCCCTTCGATCCCAGCAAATCCCAGTCCGCAAACACCGACCCCGCTAATCCCAGAGTTGGGAATTCCGATTATTTTTTGATTTTTGGGAATAACAAATCCCCTCCAGAGGGTTCAGTTCCCACCTCCAGACTCCCAATTCCAGAGCTGAAATAAAATCCCCTCTGCTCTCGGCTCGGGGCAGGCGCGTTCTTGAGGAGAAAAGCCGGAATTTCGGGAAAACTGGGAATGGGGGGGAAGGGGGGCACGGGGCGGGCTGTGCCTCTGGATGGGAAAAATCGGGAAAAACAGGAAAATTGATATTCCTTCTTTTCAGCTTCTTTTATTTTGTTTTATTTTATTTTATTTTATTTTATTTTATTTTATTTTATTTTATATTTTATTTTATCTTCTATTTTATCTTATTTTATATTTTATCTCTTATTTTATTTTTTATTTTTGATTTCAGTTTATTCTATATTTTATCATTTTTTATATTTTATTTTATCTTATTTTATATTTTATTTTATTCTACATTTTATCTTATTTCATATTTTATTTTATATTCTATTTTATCTCATTTTATTTTATTTTATTTTATTCTATTCTATTTCATTTTAATCTATATTTTGTTTTAAATCTTTTTTTATATATCTATTATTTATTTTATTTTATATTATTTTTATTTTATTTTAGTCTATATTTTATCTTATTTCATCTCATATTTTATTTTATTTTATTCTATATTTTATCTTTTTAAATTTTATTCTATATTTTATCTTTTATTTTATTTTATTTTATTTTATTTTATATTTTATTTTATTTTATTTTATTTTTATTTTATTTCTTTTATTTTATTCTCCTTCCCAGAGCTGATTTGGGATCAGTTTGGGAATTCCAGGTGGGTTTTTCGAGGGAGAAGTGGAGCTGGCAATGGGGGGTGTGGGAATTTTAATTGTTCATCCCTGGGGTGTTTCTGGAGCAGCAGCTCCGTCCTCCCGCTTATCCCGGAGGGAAAAAGAGGGAAAAGATTCCCAAATCCCTCCTGCTCCCATAAATTCCCGTCTGTGAAATTCCCGTTTGTGGAATTCCTGTCTGTGCAATTCCTGTCTGTGGAATTCCCTTTGTGGAATTCCTGTTTGTGAAATTCCCGTTTGTGAAATTCCCATTTGTGGAATTCCCATTTGTGGAATTCCCGTCTGTGGAATTCCCATCTGTGGAATTCCCATCTGTGAAATTCCCATTTGTGGAATTCCCGTTTGTGGAATTCCCATCTGTGGAATTCCCATTTGTGGAATTCCCATTTGTGGAATTCCCGTCTGTGGAATTCCCGTCTGTGGAATTCCCGTTTGTGGAATTCCCGGCAGCTCCAGCGGGGCTGGGATCCGAGGGCTCCGCTGTGTCCCCCGTGGGACTCCCGGCGTTCCGGGAATTTGGGAATTTGGAGAGGGTTTGGTGGGAATTCACCCCTGCAGTCGCCGCCCTGTGGAATCTGCGGGTCCCGGCGCGGCTCCTGTGGGATTTGGGATCTTTCCCGGCGTTCCCAAAGCCCCCAGACTCCTTTTCCAGGTTCATGAATTCCCTCCCGGCCGGGCTGGAGCCGCCTGTGCCCATCCCGGGCTGCTGGAATCCATTCCCTGCTCGGAGTTCTGGATTTCAGGTTCCCAAATCCCTGGGATTGATCCCCCGGGAATGTTTTGGGGATTGGGGTTTGGGAAAACGCTGGGCAGTGAAGGGGAGAGGAGCCCTGTGGGGTGTGCCGGGATTGTCCCGTCCCAAAGCCTCGTCCTTGTCCCCTGGTCCCCTCTCCGGTGCCACTTGTCCCCACCTCCTGGTTTTTCAGGTCCCCCTTTCTTGTCCCCTTTTTCTCCTGTTCCCGTTCATCCCCAGCCCAAAATCTCATCCTTGTCTCCTTGTCCCTTCTCCTGATCCAGCTTTTTTCCATCTCTGTTTTTCCTTGTCCCCTGGTCCTACTGGTCCCTTCTTCTCCTGGTGCCACTTGTCCCCACCTCCTGGTTTTTCAGTTCCCCGTTTTTTGTCCCGTTCTCCTCCTGTTCCCGTTC